ACAATACAAAACGGCAAACAAGTAGAAACAATAAATGAGCGTCATAATCCACAAGACTGTCATAATCTGGTAGATAATTTCGTCTGATTTGCCTCGCCAAAGGTACGTCGGAATTCCTTTCTTTGCCTCAAACAAAAAACAATGATATACATAAATAGCATGCACATAATGAACGGCGTATGAGTAACTACATCTCTCCACCGGAATGTGATTATAAGTGCCTCGTTTTCCAGTAGCATTCACGTCTGATGATAAACTATCGCCACTGAAATAACGACTTTTAGGAACATACCCTAATGCAATTGTCTGCATGAAAGAAAATGATTCTTCATGGCCGTTTAACTATAGGTTGGTCATCAAAGTGAGAGTATTCCAGACTTTCTGTCCGACGGGGTCGTCAGCTCTCAGACACTAGTTACCACTGCCCCGTGATCAGATCGTTAAGGGGTTCACCACAGTCGCTTGCTGCTATCACAACGATTACGAAAAATACGCAGAGCTCCATCATGCGATTTGTTACTTGAAACTAGAATAAAACACGGTTCATTTATACAAAACGCAAACCATATGATGACTTGGATGATTGAAAAGTAGAGACGTTTCAGCTCATGGTTCACGATCCCTCCTTAAGTTAGAGAGGGTTGATCTTCGAATCTTTGTTTGAAACCAGAAGGCTAATTATCCGGTTGACCATTTTCTTTGTTGTTTTCAGTATGAAAACCAATAAATAAACGAAATACTCAACCTGTCTTTAACCATGATCAATTATTTGTTTATTGCTGTCTAAAGAGAATTAATGAAGGTGCCTAATGTTTAACAAAATACAGATGACAGTTTTTCTGACAAGAAAAAACTCACTGCTTCGATGTACATCTCTTGAAATTTTCTGTATCTTGGACGATAGAGTCCATAATCGCCCATGACGTAGCGTCCAACCTTCGTTCCCTTCGGGTAGTCGTGGGTTTTGAGTTCGGCCAACGCCCGGCGAAAATTCTCTTGGTAAATCGCCTCTTCCTCCTCGGCTGACAACTGCTCAGGTACACCAGAAGAAACTGTAGTCGGCGGAGCAGACGAACCTTTCACGTACAAACGGATACCCAACAGTCTGGATGACAACCGAAGGGCACAAAGACTTTTCAGCATGTCCCAAAGTTTTCACAACAACTGAAATTACTGCAGATTGTAATGAACTGAAAAAACACGTATAGTAACGTCATGCCCACTTCGTTATCAAGTTGGCCATAGGCCTGCATAGTTTTCAATAATACGTAATTCACTTTATAAAGATATACTGTTCAAAAATGTTATTCATCATATAAATCGTAATAAATGTAAAACCTTTTAAACTGAAAAGATATACATAATACTTAAAATTACGATATTGGATCATAACAGATTCATCATCAGTGAACATCTTAAACACTCTGGTTTTTTTGGCCATACTTTAGTGACCAAAACTGATCCATCTGAAACATGGATTGTTAAGACCAGGGTCGATTCATCTTTTGAAGCAACACTAGATATGTAGGGATTACCAAGCAGCAACATAAATAACGAAAGACTCGATGGATGAGCTTACTGTACAGATATGTAAGCATACGTTTAACTGTCAACCTTACTTATGTAGTTTGCAATCTGGGAACACGGAAAACCTAATTTAACTGCCAGTCTTATAACATGAAATTCAGTTATGAAATTCAGTGGCTATGAAATTAAGTCACCGTTGTAAACATTATTATTTAGTTTCAGCCAATCGAAATTTTTACATCATTCTTAGCAAAGTACCCTTTCTACTGTACCCATGGATCATTTTAATCATTTTAGGATCTCCTTTAATTTTATTTCTTACCAAGTTTTCTTCGCCGACAATTTTTCCCCAAAAACTGTAGTCAACTTATACCTTATCATCTAAAATTTCTGAAAAGGTGACCGTTACTACCTGCTTTTTCAATAAACCTGACTTAAATATTCTGTTTACAGTATTACGAAGTAAACAGTGTGAATCAGTTGATCTCACGAGAACGAAGCTAAAGAACCATCATTGAAAGAAATAAATATAAATAATTTCTAAGTCTCATTGCGATGCTTTAAATAAATAACGCTCCGTAATTTTAAAGGCAATGAAACCAAAAAGATGCAGTTCTTCTTTCCACACAAGAAAATTTGGGACTTCTTAGAAAACCAAACCACGTGGTTTCGCGTCATGGCCAAAAAACTGGATTTATCACTTTGCGCATGCCAACAGAATCTGAAACAGCGACTTACGATAAACAAGTACACATATACCAATAAAGTTAAAGAATTCCAAATAGCTTTTTTCGTTCCAAAATAAGTATTAGTAAAGTTGCATAATTAAGTGTATTTTATATTCAACGCAAAGTCACAGCAGCGAGCAAATAGGTACAAACAATTTCTTACCAGTTTTGTCAGATACGTCACATTCGGCAAATGCTACTCATACTGTGGCAATGCCCTACAGACTCGCATGAACAAAAACCAGGATAAAACTGATCTCTATTATAACGAAAAAGTACCTAGTTGAGCAATCATTCCTAGAATCTAAATGCTTGGGTAACAAAATGTCGCAACTGTCGTGGTATCACACCACTTGTCAACTCACCTGAAACTCACCTTCGGTAATATCATATAAAGGTTAAAGCATGCAGTTGATGGAAGATCACAAAAATCAAACAGGCATTCACATGGGTACTTATGCTATGTCTAAGAAGTTGCTCATTCGCAAGACTATTTAGAAGTGCGACGACTACAGCTATTTCAATTTGCCATCTCCCCAGACCTCGGCGCTGTATCACATATAACACATCGTTGGACGATACGGAAAATCTTGAACTGCTATGGGGTGCATGAGAACATCTTTTCCATTCTGGAAGAGGGTTATGCAGAAAGCTGTCGAGGCCTTATGTAAGGTTTATGCAGAGCCATTTCAGTGATTATCTATTGGTCGTAGAGTTCGCTAGGGAGACGCATTTTTGCCTCTGCTATTCAACATTACCCTGCGCTTAAATTTCCGGAGCAATGGTGATCCTGGAAAAAGAAGGCCTCATTCTAAGCGAAAATCAAAGTACAAGGTATTAAGTTGGATGTCTCGATGGTATGGACGACATTGATGATATCATCTGGGTGAGAATTACCGAGAATGGGCTTTAGCCTCCGTATGCAAAGTAGCTAAGAAAGTTCGCTTCTACCATAACGTTCTAAATTATAAGGAACCTATCAGACATGGCAGTCTACCAGTCGTGTGATCTACTAATTAAGAGGGTAAATCATGCAGCAGATCAACTAGCATGTACGTTGAATCTACCATCTCCAAAGATGATACAATCGAATCTGAGTTAAACAGGGACACGTCAATGACTTCCAGTGCTTTTGGGGCTTCTAAAAAAATTTGTTCTATAAAGAAATAACTCCAGAAACGTCTGCCTGTACTTTGCGTAGGTCAGAAACCTGCTTTTGCTCGACATTGGGACAACTGTACATTAAAATCGACACAGCATATATAGCAGTTTTACTTTTTACGCACAATGACGTTTAATAGGTACACGTGGTACAGAACTGGCATTGAAAAATTGCGAATGTGATAAACATTGATAAACTTGAAAAAGTAATAGAATCAGTACTTTCACATGCATAGGAATTCAGTTTAAAAACGCATCATGCAACTATGCATAGACATTGTGCAAGCTTATATTGATAATTTTAAAAATAAGATTGGAGTAGACAGTTATGACTGAGAGGAAGAGAGATCCTTTGTAGTACGTTACTGAAGGTTTCATGATGCCTATCATTCTCTGAAATAACATAAATTCACAGCTGAATTAATACTTGAGAATCATTTATACCAAATAGCTGTGAGTATGTGAGTAAACCCAGCGAATGATAGTTCAGTTTTGGCTGTGATGGCTTTGAAGGTTTATGCTGCATGAGGCGATGGTCTGTCAGCCTTTTGGGTCGCGAGGTAGCTGAATTTCGTAATTTACGTTATTCAATACAGCGGCTTTCAGTAAAACTGACCAGCGAGTCAGTGATCAACTTTTATTATTACCGTATGGTATTTGAAGGCGTCCGAAATATGAGATTATTAGAAATATGAGCCTGTACGTGTTTCACTTTCACTTTTCATAGAATACATTTGATTTTTGAAGGTGTGTGGTAATTTTTAGGCAACTAGTAATTGTATGAGTATTAATACAAACCTAAGAAGTTAGTGTAATTAAATGTTGCTGTTTTTCCTTCGTGCTTTCATTCATTCTGGTATTATGAGGGTGTCTCCTGAATGTAGTAAAAAGGCGAAAAACTTTGATGCGTATTGTTGTGTATTTGTTGAGATAATTACCTTGAGCCGTTTGCTTCAGCGAAACAGTCTCTGTTTTGTGACATCCTTTGTATCCTCAGCTTTTCAGCACTTTTATACCAAGGTGTTCGTTACCGTATCGTAGAAGGAACTGTTCTTAAGGGTTAGAGTATTTTGTTCGTACGTTGATGCTCATACTGAAAACTGAAAAATTCATGAAAACGGTTCATATGTACATAGTTCAAGCAAACAAGTTGATCAGTCGGATGATTTACCCATAATAACGTTTCGGTTCATCTCTCCTGAGACCGGAACACCCAGAAGAAGAAGAAGAAGTGATTCTCGAAATTGAGCCGTAGTTCTTACTCCTTCGTCTGAACAGCTGTGCAGATATCGTACAATCACATCTACCTGACCAATACGTGGTACAAGCAGATTTTTATGAAGAGCGAATTTTAGGAAGTCTTTGAATGAATAAGTTGTTAAGTGCTGGTTCTGCATCGCGTTTAGAGTTTGCAGTCTAAAAACGTGTAAAAGTACTGCTTATGCTGCTTATTCTATTTTCGCGCAATCTACTGCAGTTAATTTAACCCTAAATTTAACGGGAACATCTTCAACGCCTAAGAGTAAGTGTGGCTGCTTCTGTCATCATGGCGAGAAATGAGTGATCAAGATTAACTGTTCACATGATACGAAGATATTTTATGGGCGGTATTTTGCTTGTGATTTTGAAAACTCATTAAGAATCTGTGTCGTTATCAAAATATCTATTGAAGGTGCGTTGCCTATTCGCGCTGCACACAAGACGTTTTTTAACTTTCCTTAAGGCAAACGGTGACAGGTTGCAAGCCGGATAGTTGCCCCGAACTTACACTTGCGAAAGACAAAAGCTGTTATAATCTAAATCAACAGGTTTTCATTTTACATAAGGTAATTAATTAATTGGATGCATTTGAGTATTTTCTTCGCTATGATGACCTGCTATTAATTTTAAAATGACTGGCTAATGCAGATGTGGTGGAGAGAAATTTTAGACTGGGATTTGAGGACTTTTGCTAAATCAAGATGGATGGAAATTCCTGAAAACAGTAGTCTGCAGCAGAATCTTGGAGAAGAGTTCATGCAGCAGTGGATCGAAATAGCCTGTTGGTGATGTTGAAACTAGTATACAATATAATGATATATAGTTCCAGGTTATGGTTATTCGCAATACGTCAAAAAATACGGTGTTGATAAGCCATAACGTTCTGTAATCAGCTGTAGTGGCATAC